CTTTTTAAATATCTTATTGAGACTGAAGGAACTGAAACACCTTGACAATAATTTATGTTAGAGTTCAGGGTTTCAACGACTGAGCTGTCCTTCATGGATATCATGTGCCATGGAATTGATTTGTGCCAGATTATAGACATCTCTTTGCCAGTGTGAAGGAAACGCCAAGCTATTGTGTTTAGGAACAGCTGATCGGAGAAAGCAACAAAGCTGACCACATTATTAATAAGATGGGAGTAGTGGGAGTCTGGAAATCTTGCTTTTGAACTACTTTTAGTGAATATGTTAAAGGTGAGGTAAATATTAATCTGCTTGTTTTTGCACATGTGGCTAGTTACTAGATAATGAACTTACATAAAACTCAAGTAGTTATATTTGTGATTCTTAAAAAAACAATTGTGCTAATGCCAAGAGTCTAACCTATGGCTATATTTAAATATTATGGATCTAATGACTAGAATCAAAACTAATGTCATCTTATTTCATTTAGATCTTTTAGTTAACTTATTAGAATAACAGATTGAATTCAGCAATTTTAGATCAACACAATGATCATATTTATTTGAATTAGTCTTTAGATGTTTCTCATAAGAAGGTTATTTGATCCTAATTCCACTGAAAATGACCAAGAACTGAAACATTTATTGAGGGTTGGATGGTATATGTAACGTTTTATGACTCTAAACATGGCACCTTCTCATATTCATTCTAAGTAATATAATGCTACTGTGAAATTAAAAAACAACCTTCAGCACCACAAGGTTTGTATTAAATAAATGTAAAAAATCTGTTTCCAATCATATGTGAAGGAGATTAGATCAAAGTATTGATTTTGCAAAAAAAAAGCGTACCCAATAAGTGTACAGATTTTACAGTTAAGTAAATCTGAATGTTTGTATTTTATTAGGGTTACTATTGTATGATTACATTTTCCAAAAATTGATTGTTATATCAGGTGTCATTCGGAAAATGTATCTTATATGATGCTGTAACCTCTGCCATTATTGTTTATTTTATTGATATTGCTTTCAACTTAAAACAACACAAAGATATTTCAACATTACCACCATTTTACTTTAAGCACAAGATAGTAGTACTATCTCCTCCTGCTAAGTATAGGCTAAACTTCAATACCTGTTCACATGGTTCTCAATTCCCTCCTTAGTATGCATGCAAGGGTATCAGTTATCTAGCAAAGATCACTGACCAGTCGGGAATATGACTCGAGTTAATTGTTCCTCTCCTTAAGAGAAGGGCACTGAGGCCAATTGGATCACCAATTTGGATTAAATTAGACATCACAGTGCAAACTGGGCATTATTCGGTTTGGTGAGAATGTAGAACACGCTATATGGTTATTAAGACAAATAGTATAAATGCATTCAAAAGGAAATTAGATAGGTTCATGTGAAAGAAAGGATACATTGATCGATTCAGATGATATAAATACAGGCACGGGCGCCTTGACCCTCCCTATGTCAGTAATCCACTTCAGCTCTCAAACCTTTGAGAGTTAGATGACACGGAATAGAAGGAGAACTAGCCACCTGGATACAGAAGGTAGAAAACAGAGGGTGGTGTTGGAGGGTTGTTTTTCAGACTGGGGGCCTGTGACCAGTGGTGTGCCACAAGGATCAGTGCTGGGTCCACTGCTTTTTGTCATTTATACGAATGGTTCGGATGTGATTACAGGGGCTATGGTTAGTAAGTTTGCAATGACACTAAAATTGGAGGTATAGTGGACAGCGAAGAAGGTCATCTCAGAGTACAATGGGTCCTTGATTAGATGGGCCGGTGGGACGACGAGTGGCAGATGGAGTTTAATCTAGATAAATGAGGTGCTACATTTTGATAGAGCAAATCAGGGCTGGACCTGTACCCTTAATGGTAAGGTCCTGGGGATTATTGCTAAACAAAGAGACCTTGCAGTGCAAGTTCATAGTTCCTTGAAAGTGGAGTGATAGGTGGATAGGATAGTGAAGAAGGTGTTTAGTATGCTTGCCTTTATTGGTCAGTGCATTGTGTATTGGAGTTGGGAGGTCATGTTGCAGCTGGACAGGACATTGGTTAGGACTGTATTGGAACACTGTGTGCAATTCCAGTCTCCCTGCTATAGGAAGGATGTTGTGAAACGTGAAAGGGTTCAGAAAAGATTTACAAGGATGTTGCCAGGGTTGGAATGTTTGAGCTATAGGGAGAGGCTGAATAGACTGGGGCTATTTTCCCTGGAGCGTCAGATGCCGAGGAATGATCTTAAAGAGGTTTATAAAATCGTGAGGGGCAAGGATCGGGTAAATAGACAAGGTCTTTTCCCAGGAATGGGGGAGTCCAAACCCAGACAGCATAGGCTTAAGATAAGAGGGGAAGGATTTAAAAGGGATCTAAGGGTCAACGTTTTCACACAGGAGGTGGTGCATGGATGGAATGAGCTGCCAGAAGAAGTGGTAGAGCCTGTTGCAATTACAACATTTAAAAGGCATCTGGTTGGGTATGTGAATAGGAAGCTGTTTAGAGAGATTTGGGTCAAATGCTGGCAAATGGGACTAGATTTATTTAGGATATCTGGTCAGCATGGACGAGTTGGATCAAAGAGTCTGTTTCCGTGCTGTACATCTCTATGACTCTATGTCTGCACTCTTCCAATTCTGGCCTCTTAAACATCCCTGATTTTAATTGTTCCACCCCTTAGCCAGCATTTACTTTAGAATCTTTCTCCCTACACCTTTTTACCTCTCTACTTCAGCTTTCTCCTTTCACCTACCACTTTGACCAAGCTTCTGCTTTTCTAGCTGAATATATCCTCCTGCGACCCTGAACTGTATTTTGTTTTATAATTCTCCTGAAAAGTGCCTTGGGGCATTTTATTACTTTACAGGTACTGTGTAAAAATAAGTTGTCATTTAAGCCCAAAACTTTGCTTTCTATTTTCCTACCTCCCACCCAAGTGCCATCACGCCTTTGCTGGCTATCTTATGTTGAGTACTTGCCCAGTAATGACTCGGTTTTAAAATGACTAATGCTTCAAATCTTTCCATGCCTTCCCACCTCCCAACCTCTGTAACATCCCCAGTGCTTCAGCCTCCTGAGATGTCTGCATTCAACCAATACCAGCCTCTTGCACATCTATTTTATTAGTTTGCCATTGACATTTGTTCTTTCATCTGCCAAGGTTCAATGTTCTGGTGCTCTCTAAACCTTTCCATCTCCCTCACAACATTTAAGATGCTCTTTGCAAACATCTTATACATGGAAGAGCATCGATTTTTGTTTGACTCCCTCGAAGCACTGTAAGATAAGAGGGAGAAAGCTAAAAGGAGAATAGAGAGATTTTTTTCACCCAGAGGGTAGTGGGAGCCTGGAACTCACTGCCTGAAAGAATGGTTGAGTCAGAAATACTTATAACATTTAAGCAGTATTCAATTTTCACAATTTCTTGCAGTACTTTTTTAAAAAATCATTTGTTGTGGCAAAATTTGAATCTCTCACACATCCTGGTAAATAGTGGCTGAATATGAGCTCCATTTGCAGCACTTACACCTCTTGGTCAAGAACGTTGGCTGTTCAAACCCACTGTGGACCTGAGCATATACTTTAAGCTGACACAAAAATGCATTGTTTTTGGTGTACTGCATTATCACAGTTTTTGCCTTTCCAATTAAGTATGAAGCTGACAACTAATCTTCCTGTTCTTGTTGACACGATGAATCCTATGGCATTTGGCTTTTAAAAAGACCAGGGCCCTCTCACCAAGTAAGTTTTTTGTTCCATTGTGCTTTGGAGGATGTGACAAGGGACTATATAAATGCAAGTTCTTTCTTTCTACTTTCTGCTATTCCTACGGTAAGGGCCACAACAGCAGTCTGAAATATTTCAGAATTGGCTGTCTCTATGCTACCCAGCTTATCGGATATTTCTCAAGCATTGCAGCTGACCTATTTTTTGGCAATATGCTATGTGATAAAATGAGTGAAAAAACTAAAAGACAGAAGTAGGCACAGGAATGTGGTTGCAGACAGAAAATATCAGTGTCACTATATGCAAGGAGGCTTTTTTTTAAACGCTATGTTTCAAACCTTCATATCTATAATGAAAATCACTGTATTATTCCTCATAATCACAAGTGTACATTCACTCTAATTAATTGGGTCATTGTAATTAAGAGGAACTTTTACTGAACCACAAAGTACATCTACTCATATAAGCAGTTTCTGTTTCTTCACCCTCAACTAATGAGATTTACACGGGGCGCCATTGACAGCAGACCTCATACTCTAACTAACAGTATTTCTTGTCCATACATGAACTGACCTTGAGAAACTGATATAACATAAACCCAGTCCTGTGAGTCTCATCAACAATTGTTAGGTCATCAGACAAAGTGAAAAGAACAGGAAAGCTGAATTCCCTTCCTGTTGGCAATTTGAACTGTCTTTGAATTGGAACAGCAGCACAGAGCAACGTATATTGAGAAGAACTTCACATGTGTTGAAGTTTCCACAAAAGCATCTTTACTATGTAGAAGGGTGTCTGGGATGGGAGAGGGGGTTAGGATGCATGACAAATAGCAAGTAGGCCGAAAAATGTTACAGTTAATTATAGTTATGCGTGACTGTGATTTGAAGTGAGATAATTAACAGCAAGTTAATGATCCCGTTCCCTGCTCCTCTGATGCTGCTTGGCCTGCTGTGTTCATCCAGCTCCACACCTTGTTAGCTCAGATTCTCCAGCATCGGCAGTTCCTACTAGCTCTGATCCAGTTGTAGTAATTGGTTTTCAAAATATTTTGCAGCACTGATTAATATTAATAAGTTGTATATACGTTGGTAAAACGGATTTATGCTTTGACTGTTTATATTACGATTAAGATGTAAAGTATCAGATGGATTTCGGAAATATGTGTTAATTCTGGCAGATTTTGGTGCCGGACAAGTGTTGAAATTCACTCCATCACTTTAACTTTGGGCTGATGATTATGTTATCAATCTTTCATTTTTTAACAGGATATGGATAAAATTCAAGAATCTGTGAAAGAGGCTGCTTCAATCGTCAACTCGTTAATAAAGCAGAGGAGTCCTGCCCTAATTGGACAGTTCCTTGTGGTCTGACTGCAGTTAGTAACTGGATGTCTCCAGGCACAGATGTTGTGATGTTTGAATGCTGGCTGAATGAATATACTGCCCTCTAATGATGGCTATGAAAAACTGCAAGTATCTTATCATCATGCTTTTAAAAGGGAAGATGAACTCAAATTGAACATGTCAACATTTCCCTCAAAACTCGTACCCTGGAGTTACTAAGGTCACCCCAGTGCTAAATCTACTTTAACTGTTATTGTCCGTTTTGTTCTTTCAGAAAGTTTCAGCACTGATGGGGAGAATCAGTTGTGATTCTACAGTCCCAATTCCAGTACTAAATTATCCCAACTTTATTACAAAAGAAATTCTGTTCCACATCATCAGGGAATGGCCTTTTGCCTACCAGCTATTTAAAATAACTTGGAATACAGCCAAACTGTACCCTTATATTAATGCAATGCAAAAACCTGAGGAGAGTCTCATTCAGGAGCTCTATCATTTTGATTTGAAATATTGCATTTTGTTTGTAACTCATTGTCTGGTAACTATTCCTTCACATGATTACAGTGAGGTATTTTAAAAATGCTTACCAGGAGCACCAAGTTCTTCTTTTCTTTTAAAATTGCTGTTCTCATTAGAAAAATAAAGGCAGTTGGAAAATAAAGTTATAATATGTTATTCATTAAAAGCTTCTGAATAATTGATTTCAACCAACATTAACACTATCTACATTTCAGTCCTTGTTAATGAAAAGAGAAAATTAGTCTCAAGTGTCTCATTCAGAGCTGCCCTGAATCGGTATTTCGGTGACTGCATTAAACCTTGGTGTCACGTGGCTTGTGTAACTTCATTATTTGTATTACTTGGAAGTTATGTCAAAAACAAAAAGCACTTGCTGCTGAATTTCTCATAGAGTCATACAGCATGGAAACAGACCCTTTGGTCCAACCATTTCATGCCAAACTAGTCCCACCTGCCTGCTCCTGGCCTATATCCCTCCAAAACTTTCCCATTCATGTACTTAACCAAATGTCTTTTAAACATTATAATTGTACCCACATCCACCGCTTCCTCAGGAAGTTCATTCCATACACTAGCCACCCTCTGTGTAAAAAAAAAATTGCCCCTCGTGTCTTTTTAAAATCTCCTCTCACCTTAAAAATGTGCCCCTCCACTCTTGAAATTCCCCCATCCTGGGGAAAAGCCAACTATCATCAACCTTATCTATACCTCTCATGATTTTATAAACTTCCATAACGTCATCTCTCAACCTCCTACGCTCCAATGAAAAAATTCCAGCCTATCCAGCCTTTATTTATAACTCAAACCTTCCACACCTGGCAGCATCCTGGTAAATCTGTTCTGAACCTTCTCCAGCTTAATAACATTCATCCATTGACAAGGTGACCAGAACTGAGCACATCTTGTTGTTCCTTCTGCAAAGTTTCACCCCAACTGATACCACTGTCCACTCTGCCACTTCTTAACTCAGTTGCACATGAAACATGTATGTTTATGCCATCTGGTTGTTTTTGCTTATTTTAATTTTGTTAAAATGGACAAGAGTAAACAGGTAAAGAATCAGCAAGAGATACAGGAAGTAGAAGAAGGACTCGATAAGAAAGCAAGGAGAGATGCAACAAGAGAGTCAAGACTGATGAAATAAATTGTAGGAGATGCAGAGAGCAGAATAGTTTTTAGCGAGAGATTCAGACAATCAACAAAACTAATGTAGAGGTGCCCCCTTCCTTAGCCTGCATTTTCAGCAGTTGCCACTGCTGGTTGGACTGGCCGCTCTGGGATGCAGGCGACTGTCCTCAATTAGGGGGCAGTTCCGACCGTCACAGGCACTGTTGCCTGGTGCCTCACCAACCACTAGGGCAGAGCTGCCTCCTGCTTTCAGTCCAAATGGCAGGACACTGAAAGTTCTTAGAAAGTTTAGCTGTTTCAAAAATTTCTAACAATCTCAAATTCTTTGACTGTACTGCCACCTGCAGGATTTAATGGTACAGTCATAATCACAATTGCCGGTATCTTTTACTCGTTGGATTGCAACATGGAAAACTTAATTTATACATTTGGTTTGGAATTTTTTTTTTTTGTTTTGAATTATATGTTACCATTGTGCCAAAGTAGGAATTGTGATGATATGTGACTGAGCAAATATGAGATGAGGAACTGTTAATAAATAGGGGAATTGCAATTGTAGAATTGGATGGAAGGGAACCATCCAGACAGATTCTTCTCTTCATCTTTCTCCTCTTTGACACATTTCTGCCCCACAGCCGCCCATTGTAAAGCTGATCGACCAAGCACACTAAGGATCCTCCAGAGCAGTCAAGGTGCTCGAACTTTATTTCAGTTGAGAAGTGGACTGGATTTTGAGTAGAATTTCCACATCCATGTGCCCTCTGCCAACAGTCCTATCATAATCCAATTGCACATCACTGCTACCACTCTGCTGTGGACCAGATTGGTGACAGTCAGTGACACATTGTAAGATCTTTGATACAACGTATGTCATCCTGCTTTAAGTGGCTAAGAAATTGCATTACAAGTCTTCATTGTCATGCACTGCATGGACTTATTTGAAAACTTGCTTAGAGCTCCATGGAAGCGTGTGCACTCTCACCATAGCGATATCCATAGAATTTCCTCTACCACCAAACTGCTTGTGATCATTGTAAACTCCTCAATCGTCTCCACTTTTGCTGAGTGTTTGTGTCGCACATCTTTCAGAACCTGGCCAAATTTCTAATGCACTGGCAGTACTTTCCTTCTCAACAGAAGTTTCAGGGGTTCAGCATCTGTGCCCAGCTGAACAGCTGTACCTGCCACAATTGCCTGCTCATGTTCAGTTGAGAGGTTTGAACCAGCAGATAAAAACTCAAGTGAACCCACCAAAGGGCAAGCATTTACACTGGTAAGTGACTGCAGGTGCGGCCTTGGGAGTGAGGTCCTCTGAGGAATTGTCCTGAGGATATCTTAAACACATCAGGGACATGGATAGGGTGAATAGCCAAGGTCTTTTTCTCAGGTTGGAGGAGTCCAAAACTAGAGGGCATAGGTTGAAGGTGAGAGGTGAAAGATTTAGAAGGGACCTAAGGAGCAATATTTTCATGAAGAAGGTGGTGCGTGTTTGGAATGAGCTGCCAGAGGAAGTGGTGGAGGCAGGTACAATTACAACATTTAAAAGGCATCAGCATGGGTACATCAATAGGATGGGTTTGGAGGGATATGCAACAAGTTTGCCATTCTTATCGACCAATTCCAGCTTAAAAGCAGCAGCAGGATGTCAAGGTAAGTAGTGACAGAGAAGGTGCTACAAAATGGAGGTGCCTTCCCTCTGGCATTTTGAAATTTTAAATTTAAAAAATGGCCTTTGCAGTGTGCTCCCAGTGTACCTCCAGGCAGATAAACCATCCCCTGTTGTCTCCGGGAATCTGAAAACAGACTGGAAAATCCCAGTCAACTCTTTCAATAGACCCTTAACTAACCCATTGCTTACAGGTGAGCCATGCAGCTGACCCCTATTCCATCCCTGAGAAAGTGGCTCAGGAGGGGGATGTACCCAGAGAACTGGTTTGCAGGCCAGTGGCATGAAATTCCACATCTGCCCACCTCCTCTCCTGGCCCTGCTGGAGGCTAAAGACCTGGCCCAAAAGCTTGTAAACAGTTGGTGACAGAATTACAAATGTCTCAGATACAAATATGTTGACCTCATTACTGTGTGAACTGTGATAAGACTAAATACAGTGATGCCAAGATTGTGAATTTAACTCAAATAAACCTTTTTGTCTTTACAGACCATTTGTAAGTACAGTATGAAGAGTCATAGAGTTGTATAGCACAGAAACGGGCCCTTTGGTTCAACTCGTCCATGCCAACCACATATCCCAAATTAATCTAGTCCCCAAATGCTGGCAAACAGGACCAGATTAATTTGGGATATCTGGTCAGCATGGATGAGCTGAACCAAAGGGCCCGTGGGTGGATAAAGCCTGTAGGCTGCTGAAAAGTGAGTGGATGGCGAGTGATGTGATGGAGAAGTGTTTGAATGTCCTCATTGTTGCTAAGCTAGTTGAACATTATGTTGCTTTTGACATTGCGTTCATGACTGCACACCTGCTGCACATCTCCTCAACCTTCAGACCTCACTTTCCTTGTGAGACCAGCAGGATTCTCTGGTTGCTTGACTAAGGTATATCCTTCCTAATCTTCCAAATTTGTGGATGGTTCTTTTAAAAATGGTTGAGATAAGACCATGTGATTGTGCATCACTCTTGCTGCAGAGCTTGAGATAGTCACAATTAATTGCTTATCTCTGAATTGTTCATTTAACTTTTGATATTCCCACATAATTTCAACCCTCTTATGACGGACTGAATTTTTGTGGAATCATGGTGGTTATCATGAGCATGTGTAAAAGGTGCAGGTGGTCTGCATTCACAAACTGCCCAACACCATTGTGGCGATAGACATCTCCTAACCCCTGCAACTTTACTGGATTTGGGGCAGTTTCTTAAAGGCCTGCCTCGCAGAGGTAACAAGAATCATAGACTGAGGAAATCTGTTAAAGATATGATCAAAAAGCTGTGTTCCCAATGAGATTGTATGCTTCCCATCCACCTAAAATGGTCCCTTATAACCCCTGTGCAACCTGCACCCCTCCACCCACCCCAACAGTCATTCATATCTCATTTCTCCTCTGGATGCTAATTCAAAGAAGCACAAAGTGTGGCAAGAGCACAAAATATACTCTGATTTGGTTTGAATTGATTTATTATAGACACATGTAGCTAAGAACAATGAAAAGCTTTGTTTTGCAGGTAGCACAGGCAGATCACAGCAAACACGGACTTACAGATCATAATGTGCTTAGACAGATTGAGGTGTACAAGGTTATGGCTCCACAGGAGGTGCACAAAGCAAGTTCAACATTATTTGAGGTTGGAGAGGTCTATCCAGCAGTCCATTACCAGCAGGGAAGAAGCTGTTCTTGAACCTGTTGGTCCGTGTGTTCAAGCTTCTGCATCTTCTGCCTGGTGGAAGAGGTTGCAAGAGAGTATTTACCGGGGTGGGAGGGGTCTTTGAGGATATTGGCAGCCTTTCAACAGTAACAAGAAGGGTAAGTGCAGTCCATGGATAGGAGGTTGGCTTCTGTGATGGTCTGGGCTGTGCACACAACTTTCTGTAGTTTCTTATGGTCCTGGGCAGAGCAGTTGCTGTACCAGGCTGTTACACACACAGATAGAATACTTTCAATGGTGCATCTGTAAAAGTTGGTGAGGATCTTATGAACATGCTGAATTTCCTAAACCGCCTGAGGAAGAAGAGGCATTACTGTTCTTTCCTGACTGTCGTATCTATGTAGGTGGTCCAGGTCAAGTTATCAGTTGTCGTCACTCCGAGGAACTTGTCACTCTCGACCCCCTTCACTTCAGCTCCTTTGATGTAGATGGGGCGCATGCTCCTCCTTTCTTCCTGAAGTCAATGATCAGTTCTTTTGTTTTGCCAACATTGAGAGAGAGGTTGCTTTCACTACACCACGTCACCAAGCACTCTGTTTGGAGCCTTTCATTGTACTACAGTAAGAG